AAGGAGAAATGGCTCACCTTAAATTCGCTTACTAACGGGTCAATATAATAGTCATGAGACTGATTGACCCTCTTCTCTTTGCCAGCAGCACAAGACTTCATATGAAGTCATTAGGAATCGTGCTTACATGATTATCTTTCGGGATCCTGTAGTAATCCAGTACTAAATGCAAAATCTACCCTTAATGTTCAAATGGCGGTTTGGCTGAGGTGCACCCAGTCCGTAATTTTGAGAGATAAATCCGACTTAAAGGTGGCAAGAGTTATTTCATTACAGATATACTGTGGAGGAAGATGTGGGTATACTCAGACAGTTAGACAGATTGATCTTGATGATCAATCATATTGGCACCAGAGTATTACCCTTTCATTATCATTGGAGGCTTGCCTTGTGGATGGAAAAGAGCAGAACTATGGGTAATGGAATGCTGAAGTGTTGTGACCTATTAATAGGCAGTTTCCTCCATTCCCTTCCAGAAGAATATATTAAGTGTGAACATTATTAGCCTCTGAATGTTGTCAAAACATTGGAAAGAGGAGAGTGGCCTCCTGCTTCGGGTGGCACAGTCATATTTCACTTTCATTCGGCTCCCATTTGTGGTTGAAACAGCAAAGTCATTCCATTTCAGTGAGACTCAGAGCATGAGCGCCACCACCATGATGCTTGCTCATGGGCTGCGATGGCAGGGGGGTCCAGTCACGAGCCCAGATTGGCCTCTTTCCTCTGCGCTTTTCCTTTAAAGAATGGGGGCCACATCTTCCTCTTTCAGGCCGGTCAATTGCAGAAAGGAAGCAGAGCTGTCCTTGGAGTCTAGGAATGCCCCGTATTTTTTCCATTTCAAATGTATCACGGGCTTGGTCACTGAGGAGGGTTTGCTGCATCCTCCCTCAGCCAGTGGAGCTGAAAATGAAGGTCATGGACCAGTTGTATGCCTGAGTTCAGTGAGGAAAAGGGCCTCTGCCTTTCCCACTCACTGATGTCTGTGTCTTTGTGTCAATGCCAGCATGAATTTCCCACCTTCCCT